TTTCTTCTGATATGTTTTGTGATTTTCTCGTTATCTAAAAGTCGTGTTCTCTTTCTTCACCAAATCAGATTGTCGTTATTGACGTTGAAAAATTTCGAGATCTCGAGATGGTCGAATATATTTTTCAGAAGGAAAATGTGTGTTAACAAGTAGTTTGCATGTTAATTAATGGAAGCAAAGACCACTGATTTGATTGCAATCGTTCTCTCTAGGGCTGTCGAATTTATCCGCAACATTCGCCTCTTGATCATGTTTGCTCAATTACAATGGAATCATGTTAAGAGTCTCGGTTATTCCGTTGCTCGGATATTAGAAAGTATATGCGAATATGTGGTAATACCGTTAAACAAATAGCAACAATAGTAATAATAATAACGGTAATGATAATAATAATGATTCTTAGAAATGTATCGACATCGTGTCAATAATTCACAAATACTCTTTTTCATTATTGACACGGTGTGTATATCATTACCGATTCGCCCATACTTATTAAATAACCTCCGTTCACCTATCTCCCTGTCTCGCCTCTATTAGGATAATTATATTACAATATTACAATAATAGATACACGTAATATAAATGATGTAAATTAATACATAGGCGGGCGCCTTACGAGATAATAAATATACGCTTAGCGAAACTCGCATAGCACAGGTGATCTCTCCCCATCTCCTCCCCGCGTATTCTTATAAAATATAAACGTGAAAATGTTTACGCCTTAGAAAAAGCCAAGTATTTGTACCTTGGAACCACAAAAAATCTATATGCGATATCCTTATACACGAATTTTCGTTAAGTAGAAGTTTTTTTCGAATTCCTTTCATTTGTCTCTCTTTCTCTCGCGATTTCTTTCACCGGGAATATCGACCAATGCACTAGTTCAAAATTCTTTACGAGATTGCTGTTTCAAGGTACACGAATATCGGATCATACCCTTAATACGTACATTATCTATGCTTCGTTTCCAGTAGATGCATCGTATTTAAATGAAAAATCCATATGCTTCCTTTACAGACCCATTATACATATATATAAATTTATTTACTTTATTTATTTACTTTATTTATTTATTTAATTATGCACACATCTGACGCACGGATATTCGCAGCCCTAGTTCGTATTTTATTTTCTTTCTCTCCGACTTCAGTTTGTTCTTTTTTCTTCTTTTTTTAAACATCGATCGTTGTTTCGCAATCGAGTCAAAAGCGTTCCCTTATCAAGGAAGAAAGTGACCATCGTGAAAACGCTTGTTGTGTGTCTCGACATGTCCAGGATATTCAGGGGGTGATATACCACTTTACGACGTTCAACGATGATATACATATATATCCTACGGAATTGATTTCCATCTCGTTGCATGCACAACATCGTTCCTCGACTATTGTCGTTTGACTTTCCGTCGCACGAAACGCAGTCGACCGAACGTAAAATACTAAAACGCAGTCAATCGAACGCAAAATACTAAAACAAGTTTCACTCTCTCTCTCTCTCTCTCTTTGATGTTAATTGGTGTACACGTGCAATGAAAGGAACGAAACGAGCCGTACTCAGACTACAGAATCGATACGTGCAATTGTGATCAATTGTAGTCACAGACGGACTCAAATCAGAATCGTACAATTCGTTAACTTAACGCTGCAACTACCGTCTGGGTCAAGAATGACCCGTTAGCAACTTCACGACTCTGTATTGTACGAATGGAATTTTCCAATGGGTCATTTTTCACCCAACTGATAATTCTAGCGTTGAAGATTCGTGGAAGAGGTACTTCAATATTTTAGAAAATAAGAAAAAAAGAGCAAAGGGATATTAAACAGTGCTTCTTAATAATAGATAATAATTTTCACGTTTACATAGATCTACATATTGCACAAATAATTTAAAAAATTCTGAAAATAAAATTTAAAAAACGTACCTGTAAGTTGCAATCAGGAGAACACGATATATCGAATATCATCGTTAATTGATTATCGTATTCACGTATCTGTTTCTAAAGTTCGCGATACAATTTATCTGTTGTGAGTCGCGGTTTGTCTCGACGGAGCCAGTTTTATTTGAACAGTAACAACCGTTAGTAGCAGATCTTTCTGTTCTTTCTCTTACTTTTTTTTCTCTCTCTCTCTCTCTCTCTCTCTCTCTGTTTTTAATCGATTATGCTAAATTGGACGATGCTTGCCTCTGTTCGTTTCGCTGGAGAAAAAGAAACCGCATTCACACACGTTCTCATCAAAAATACACGTTTGATATGCTAACTCCCTTTTTTCTTTCTTCTCTTTTCTCCTACGATTATATAAAATCCGCACGTTGTTCTTTCGCGTGTATCTCTCTTTTTATTTTTCTTCGTCTCTATCGTTCTGTCGACTCTACGAAATCATGCTCGCGTGGCGGATCTTATCTACCGTGGAAATTATATAGAACTTCTTCTCCTCTTTCTCTTCTTTCTTGCTTCTCTCTCTTATACAGTCACCGTCGTACCTTCTCGTCTACTCGATGGGATCGAAAAAGTGTCTTAAAATGAATACACGGCGGCGCGGTCAGCTCGACGCTTGGATCAGCTTCGAAAATTCGGCCGAAATTTTATAATATCGATGCGAAATCGAGAACGCCCGGGGAGTCGAGAGGAGTGTGTTTCAACGGATTTAAAGCGTTTCGAGAGAAAAAAAAAAAAGAGGTTCGATCGAGCCTTCCCCTAATTAATCTTAGGAAACGTAACGGCTACCATCTTTACGCTCACTTAAGGTTACACGAATATTTACAACGTCCTAAATGGTAATTAAGCGTTGACGATTAACATGCCCGACCGAGAACTAATCGACTTTTTTATTACCGAGCTACGAGATTTACGGAAAACGGCTCAACTTATTTACAATCGTACCTGTAGATCGGAGATCGCGCGGCTGTTTCACACAGAAGAGAAACACTATTTTTTTTTCTCTCTCACGAATCGTACTGTGCAATGTGAGAAAATCATTGGAAATCTGGAAGGCGTGTTATTGGTTAAAGGATCTCGTTTGCAATATGAAATGTCGAATTTCTAATCGTGTGCAAATTGGTAAATTCTCAGTTTTTTCGTGTTAAATTTAAAGGGACCCAATATCTCACGTTAAAACGACCTAACGCAAATGGGCAGACATATGATTCAATATTCTTATTTAAAACTGTTCATCAAAATAACGGACTGATAAGATGAAAATTGAATTTTGGACAAATTTCCCGTGGAAAATTGACTCGAAGCTCTTATGAATATTTCTATTTCGTCACCAAGGGAACAACCGTGTCGCCTGATTCGAGTTAATCTCGAATTCAGCGCGGCGCAGTGTAAAGGGTAAAATCCAGACGAAGGTTCCTTCGGGGAATTAAAAAGGAACGTGATTAATTAACTAATTCTCTGAGAGAGAACAACGACGTTCTCGTTACTGTGCGATCTTCTACGCGACGCCGCATCTCCGGAAGACTACCTGTAATTTTCATAAAACGCTACCACAAACGGACGGCCTGGTTTTCACCTATTTCTCAACGACGCTAGAAAAAGAATCCATTAACGTTGCACCCTACTTAGAAATCCTCCGTGGCGTCTACTTAAAAAATCTTCGTCCGTCCCTCAAGAGATAGATAGAGATAGGAAGGGAGAGAAAGAGAGAGAGAGAGAGGAAATGCTGGACAAATCGTACAGAAACTCCCTCGAAAAAAAACGCGTTTCAATGCAAAAAAGTAACCATACCCTCGCGCGGCCACGATTCTTACGATCGGATCGATAAGAATGTTGGTATCGTATCACAGACAAGGAATATACCGTGACTAGAAGAAATACTTTTCCGAATTGCTAAGCGTATATAACGTTTCGTCGACTAGAGAATTCTCCGTAATACGTGCTCTTCGATCGTGCCACCGGAAGTCATCGAGTTTGGCTGCGACATTATAAACGCGTCTCTACGTAGAACGAAATCGAAAACAGGGAAGAAGAATGAAATGTTGAAACAATCGAGACACTTTCATCTCGCGAGTGAAAGTTTGCGAAAAAGAAGAAGAAGAAGAAAACGATTCGTCTTCGGAGCGAAGTTGAATAGAGAGATGGAAGGTTGAAGAAAGGTAAAGAAGGATTAATCGATGAGATGGACGTAAATTGAGGCGAAACGCTTTAAATCTTTCTCGTTCGTCGAATCCTCGGAGCGATTCGAAATCCATCAATACTAAATTCGCCAAAATAGGTCTCAGATCTGGCATGAGACGACCCTGAATTATTTGTTAGGCATTTAAGCTATATACAGACGGGTGTGTTATCCTTAAAGGAGATCGATATGTCTCGTTGGTGGCGTTGGTTACAGGAATCCCTGGACAAGGAAAGTCGTGTTCCAATGACTAATTCTCTTTTTTTATTTTATTTTTTCTCTCTCTCTCTCTCTCTCTCGCTCTCTCCCCACTCTCTCTCTCTCGACTTATTCCTTCGCGGACAGAGATCCATTAGTCAACGCCATGACTGGGCCAGAACTTCCCCTCGAGTTCGTGTCAGAGTTGAGTTCCAAGGACGAGTCCTGCAACGTACAAGTCGAGCGACATCTATAGTAATTAAGGATACACGGCGGCCAACGGTTAGTAACAATTATTAAAAATTCCTGGCTGGGGCGAGGTGGTTTTTTGCGGAGAAGCTGGGAGAACGAAGGAAGCCTGGTGTCAGATGAATTATAAATCAAAAGGAGCAGCGAGAGATTAAAGAAATCTGCCAGATAAATAGTGAAAATTGTACGTGTGCTTGTAGTGTGGAAATTAATTTGTTGGAACACCTGTACCTTCATTATTTCTAGAAAATTTCACGTTAAAATTTACAGGAAGAGAATATACAAATTCTGAAACTGAAGAAAAATCAATCGACGAAGAAACTGTATCAGCATCCAAACATTTCCAAGAAAATTTCGCGTTTCAATTGTCACAAAATAAAATAATTCGTATAATAAACTGGAAATTCGTTCAACACGATGCATTATTCTCCATTCAATTCCTCCGATTTTAATTAAAATTTCTAAAATAGCAGATCGCCGGGGGAAAGAGACGCATCTAACTTAAACGATACGAAGAAAAAAAAAAGAAGAAATACACATCTTGCGAGACAGACTATAAATGAATTCCCAGCAACTTAACGTTCGTGCAATCCTTTTAAAAATCAAACAAAGAAGATTTACTCGGCTGAAAAGCATTAATAGTCCGGCGCGAAAGGGATCGTAGCACGTTGCAGTGGTGCGTGAAGCCGCGAGAGGAAATTGCAATGAATTTTTCCAAGCGTGCATTACGGGCGTCGCCTGTAAGTGCATCGCGGAAATCTTCGAGCTCTAGCTCGTGAAAGCTATAACGCGTTTACGTGTGGTGATTACGCGGATACGACGTCGGGTACCGCGGGACCATTTGCCAATGATTGTTTCGGCGAATGCGAAACCGAAATGGCACAAGCCGCCGTTCAACATTCGGCTCTCTCCCCGTGATTTATCGCGGGAAGGAAGCTTTCGTCTCGTGTTACAATGCGCCTTTACGACTATACTACGAGCCTCTTCGTGTCATCCCACGATCGCTGTTTCATCGTCAACTCTATCGATTATAACACCTGTCGTTAACCCTTTCCTTGCGATATCCGCGAAAATGAAAAGTGCCCTCGGACCCTGAACACGTTTCTATCGATGCGGGGAAAATATTAGATCGTAACGTAAGTTCCTGTCGAATTTTGTAGCAATTTAGATCAATATTTCCAACGAACCTTTAAATTTGAGAAACATAGAAACGTAAGTTTCATCTCATTCCACAATTTTTTTTTTTTTTTTTTTTTTTTTTTTTTTTTTGGTAGAATTAGATAGAATTTTCTGTGATTTTTATTAAAATATTTTTCGCTTTCGACACGAACTTATGGGATGATCTAAGATAGTTTGTGTAATTTTGGCTGGTGGTGCGACGTGTATAAAATAATCGTCGAATGTTCAAGCGTGAGGAAATTAAAAAAAAAATTAGTAAAAATTAGAAAGAACACTCACAATGCTGAGAGTATGCATGATACAAGCTTGTGTGGTGTTTTCAACGTGGATCAGCTCGTCACATTCTTCATGGTCCAGTCCGTTTACGTCAGATCGTATTTTAATCGGTGACAGAGCTGCTTCGTTGTCCGTCGACTTGCCACTATCAGGAGAGGGCAATAATTCGTGTCCATCTAGATCCTCTTCCTCTGCGCGCTCTTCACAATCCGATGCTTTGGTTTCCTGTTTTACGACCAATATCATACGAGTCGACTTAAAGTTATATTACAGTGAAACAACGTTTCAGTTATTTCCAAACGTACAATTTCGTTTCGTAATAAAATGAAAACTGTCTTTGTAAACCTTTATATAACAGTATAGCGGTATCCTTGAAGATTAGAAACGTGTGAATTCTATTTTTATAGGAAGACAATATGTCGAAGAATATACGAGAGAATTATTGAAATAAAATTGATCGAGTAACGCACGAAGGAAACTTCCACAAAGGGGATAATATTAAAAAGAAAAATATCGCGAGAATTGGAAGCACGGCGAGGAATTGAGCGATATATAGTACCTTGACCTGTTTCACCTGTCTCTTGCGGCGAGATAGTGAAACGACGGACGATATCTCACGACTGACGTGGATCATACAAGCGACAGGCTCTATTCACTTTTATCCACTTGGCCGACCAAAGCAGAACCTATTCTACTTTCTCCTTTTTTCCATCTAATCTTTTCTCTACCCCGTGGATACGATATTCCTTAGTACATTGCGTATTTATTAATAAGCACATTGTTTACCGTGTGTATTAAAAGTGCACGCTAATTACCAACTGCTTTACTCTCCCCGATATTCATTTTTCTCGTACGAACGAATCCGTTAATTACTACTTCACGTGCTATGAAAATTCATGAATTTATTCTCGAGTGCTTTGATGCTGTCGCGAAGATTGATTTTTAATTGGTATCAATTACACAGTGTACCGTATTTCTTAAACGGGGGAATGCCTATGTTATGTCACAGGGAAATGTCGAACAATTAGCGGGAGAAGTGAAGTTTTGCAAATGTGTATCAAATGTATTCTAACGTTATATTAATAATTATAGGGCGATGGAGGATAGAGAGGCAAGAACAGAAGAGACAGCTAAAGATAACAAATATAATTAAAATTAGAAAATTGTAATTTTGTAGTCACCAGGCAAAAATGAACAATAAATAATATTAATTATTCACAGTTAATCGTGTATATTATTGTCCTTCCTACTATCCCAAATAAATATTCCTACCACGATAAACAAAAATTCTTCGATCGATCTCTTTGAAAGATCATTCGAACGAACCGCAAGCCTCTGTCAAGAGAGGAGAAAATCACGTACTCGATACGATTAATAGAAACCGGAGAAAGGTAAGAGTGAAAATAATAAGGAGGCTCCTGAAACCCGAAACAAAAGTTCCGATTGCTTGATAGCTCCGATCCGTATACCCTGTCCGTGCTCTGGAGTTGACATATCGACAGAGAAACATATGATGAAGTAATATTTTTCCAAGTTGTACGTCGTTCCCTACGGCGACAGGATTTTCGTTCCTTTTCTCCCCGAGTTTCGTTCACCAGCCTTGTCTTAAACACCGAGGGAGCTTTTGCTTTCCAACGATATTACGATTTGCCGCGTTTCTTTTCTCCTTCCTACGGAAAAACTTACATTGTCCAAATTGACTGCTACTCTTATTATTGTTTCCCTTCCTGTATACGCGAGACGTATACCAGGTTCGGATTTTACATAGCTAGAAGAAATTCCGCGGAGCAACATCGAGAGGAGTCTTCAATACCAGGAATAGACGACGTTCGAGCTTGAAAATATTGAATACTGAATTTGTGGTTAATTTCGTTATGTTATTTCGAACGATCCTGATGGAAATTCTATTTTTCTTGCACGCCAGTTTTCTTCTCCGACGATGTGTCCGACACAAATTTCGCAGCTAAAGAAAAATCCATTATTCCACCGTCATTTTTCTCCATGTTCGGTCCATTGAACAACATTAAATGAATTTCCCTTCGAGAAAGCGAGAAACTCGATTGCTCTTTCCAATATCGTATTTACCTCACCGTGAGAGACTTTCAAAGTGAATCTATAAATCTTCCTCGATCTGCTGTTAGATTAAAAGAAGCTACAAATTATACGGGGGGAAAATCCTCGTTTTGGTGTATTAACCCTTTGGACTCCTTTGTCGAGTGTGACCCGACATCAGTTTTATTCACAGGTATGAATGAAGTAATTTTTAAATTGCCAGTTTAAATATGTATTATATTTTGCAATATATTTTTTAATACAATGTAATTAGTTCACAGATAAAATTCTTAAAACAACAGGGAGTTATTGAGAAGAAAATGAAAAAAAAAATTTGGAGTTCAAAGGGTTAAAGGAACAAGGGTAGTAGGTCAGAAATATTCTGAGAATTAAAGCGAACAGACGACGTCGTATTTTCTTTTCAGACCCTTCTCAGCCAAGCCTGTTCATTCTGATAAGATTGCGCAGTCATGGTTCCCTACTTCACGTTTCCGGCCAACAAAAATAACGAAACCGGGAAAATCCATCGGAATAGAATTACTTTTCCTTTCGGAAATTGAATTCCTCCGCGTGGTATAGCGAACTAAATACCAGCTAATAGTGCACGTTTTAACTCTCCTTGCAAACATTCTTCTTCTTTATCGTCGAATACGAAGAAAATGCTTCGTTTCGATGCGATTTATCTCATTCCAGGATGTGTCACAATTTCTTACAATTGAAGTTAAAATAACAGAGATAGAGTAGAGACATTGCAGCTATTATTATCGAGTCTCAAACATTTCTGTAACACTGTAATACCAAAGAGCAAAGAAAAAGTGTGCTTCTCTTACGATAAGAAGAGATCCGCGAAAATTCACACGTTTGTTCTTATCAGGACAAAAAGTATGCTTGAAGTTAGTCAGAAACTAACCTGAAAGTCTTGCGGTGACGGGGATGATTCCTTCTGATGCTGACTTGGACTCTGCGGAGGGCTGGGAGCTGATCTGGGACTCTGAGGTCGAGTTCCCAGCTCGTAAATGTTGATCATGTGTGCTGCCTGAGCATGAACCATCAGTTCCCATGCTGAAGGGAAGGACACCTTGCAGAGAACGCATAGCAGAGCCGTCGTAGAGTCTCCTTTGAACATAAAAACGTTATATCTGTAATGGTTAAAAGACAAACACTATTCGTCAGAAGCTTGCTAAGTTACTAACACTTTGTGATCTTGTTTCTTGAGATAAAGGCTGGAAACTTTCGTCAATTGTGCTACATTTACGCTACTTTTACATCGATTAAATCCCTATTAACTAGCACTATAGTTCACTTTGCTTTATACAAAAACACACGATACCACAAAGTGTTAGAAAATCGTACTCAAACTCGTTAACGTAATAAGATCCTCGAAAGTAACTTCACAACCCCTTTTTTTTCATTCACCGATATCGAAAACGAGATACGCAGCCAGTTCGCGTCGCTTGTAAAAATCGTAGAAAAGAAACCGCGAAAAGCTGCCGTGTGTATGTACATCTCACGCAAATTTGTCGAACAGCAACACTTTCCGGCCTTCCTCCTCCCTGCACACCGATTCTTCAATCCTAAACAAACCGCGGAACCGGAGAAAGCTCTACTTGCACCGATGCAGCTGCGTTTCCCCCGATAAAACGGGCGAAATACAATTCCGTAGCGCGAAAGGTAATCGAAGAAACGAGGGAAAGGTGGAACACTATATTCCGGCTCGAATTTCATTTTTACACCTGTTCTATTGAAAGAGGCGCGCGCGCGGCGAGGATAACGCGCCGAGGATAGAAAGAGGAGAGGGAGAGAGATAGCGTAAGAGGAACGACGATATTTCGAAACCCGGCTGCGTCCTCGAATTTCGTGGAAAACCGGAAACTTATTGTGGAATTTTCTTAAATTCGCGTAGTAGCCTCCACCTTTTTCTTTCCTTTCGTTTTTGCTCAAAGGGTCACTCGATCCTGCTACAAGTGAGACTACGAGCGTTCGTTCGTCTAAACCGGAGGAACGGAGGCTCGTCGAGGCAACTTTTCTTTCGAGTACGTACTTGGAGCTGTTCCGTTGAAGGTGTGACATTTACATGTGAACCGCAGTTTGCAGTAATTCCGCTTGTGCTCGAGCAACTCGCCCAGGTCTGTAAACATCTCCCGACAGTTGCCGCAGATCAGAATATCCGGGTTGCCTGGAACACGGAAATTGCAAACTGATTTCTGCCTCTCCGGTTTCACCACGCTTCTTCATTGTCTTCTCATTTTTGTCCTCGTTTGTGATTGGTCCTCTTAAAGAGGTCTTTTAACCCTTTCGCTGCTGTTAACGCTGAGAAAATTTGCTCGTAACGTCATATCGGTGACTATCGGCACACTTTAGCTCTCGTTTTTAAATTTAAATTTTGAAGTTTTTTCAAAAATTTTAGTGTCTGTCATGCGTGTTGTGTACTGAAACTTGTCGCAACGAAAGGGTTAATACGTAGCAGTAGAAATTAGTTAGAATTTTTTTTAATTTCTAGAGCCTTTTAAATCGAAAAGCAAGCAAATTCCCGGAAGGTCAGAGTAACGAGACAAACCTTGCTTTCGAGATAATTATTCGCAAAAAAAAAAAAAAATCTTTCGCCCATCACTCTATCGCGAGAGGTAATGGAACGAAATTTCTTTCTTCCTTTGTTGCTCGCCGGCGAGATTATGCAGTAGAAAGGAAACTGATGTTGTTATCCGAATAAAAGTAAAAAAAAACACAATGTACCCTTTGAACGTAAATTGGTTTCGAAATATAATTACACAGTAGCAGTGTAATTATCCAAAAAAGTGACAAAAAACAGAGCTACGAGGTGGTGAAATTTATCAGATCTAACTGAACGAATTTCCAAATTTCAAAAATCCTCCATTGTGTCGTATCAAAATAACCAAACAAACTAGAAACAAAATTCACACACACACACACACCTCTAGGACTGAAATGAAATATGAAACAAAACAAGCTTCATGAAGCGTGCGTGATCAGCTTCATACAAAATCCCCCGCTCGTTTAACATTTATCAAAATAACTTTCATCGAACTTCCAGGCTGTACATGCTAATGAACGAAATTTTAATTCCATCCCGTCGGATAAATAATCCGAGCCGCATCGTCGGGTGTGGTAATTATTTAACTGTGAAAGTTTCTCCTTCGCGTGGCGTTGCTGCACCATCCGATAATCCCAAACTTTTTAAATGAAAACGTAAATGGAAATTCGTTCCTCGGTACACGTCGCGATCTACCCTTGCCCCGTGACAAATAATACAAACGTTCCCTCTGTCCCTGCACATTTTTCCAACGTTCCCCATATTTACAAAAAAAAAAAAAAAAACGCGATCCCGGAGCCAACACACATACTCGCAATTTCCGCGTAATTAAAGCACGCGCGGGAACAAGTGTCGACGATACTCCGCGTGTGTATCGTTTCTTCTCTCTCTACCTCGCGGTGTCGCACGGTTTTCTCTCTACCATGGGAAACGAGACGCGATCAAACTAGCAGAGGCTAGGCACACTAACAAACTGTGTTCTCTCTCTCTCAGTTTGCCGGTCTCGCGACGACGCTTTCGAACGCGTCCTTCTTGAAACCGTGACACGCTCGAGATGATACTCCCAACACCTCTCTTTCTGCTCAATTGAGTCTCGTTCTGTTTTTTTCTCTCTCTTTTTCTTTTTCTTCTTCTCTATACCGCGTTTCTTTTTTTTTTTCTTTTTACCGACTCTGGGAAAGCGTGTATAGAGTGCAATGTAGAAAATGGGCTGGCTAGTACTTACTGTACACTTTCAGCTGGTTCAGGTCCGGAACGGCGGCTGTGTTCGCGGCGGGTTGTTGTTTCTGTTGCTTGGGATGCTGCGATCGAGCCGGTGGCATCAAACGAGGTCTCTTCAACGGCGGCGCCAAACGAGGTGGAAAAGCAGTCGACGCGTAGTAACTGAAAATAAACTTTCAAGTGAGCGAACGCCGGTGGACATTTCCGCGAAGGGGGATAACGGCGCATAATTGCTTCGCACGCGATACTCGCTGTTTTCACGTTTAACAGGGGGAAGAACGACTGTGCATGTCTTAGGAACGGCTTTCAAACGTGAACGATTTTTTTCTTTTTGAATTAGAGATGTGAGAGAACCTGAAAAATTGGGAGAGTTCGACCGAAAGTATCTGGCGACTCGAGAATTTCGAGAACTCGAACATTTCGGAGCTAATTTTGTCGAGTGCGAGCTTACCTTCGGATTTTTCATTTTTCAGCAATTTTCTGAAGTATGAAATAATGAAATTATGAAAGGTGAGACGTGGTACTAAATTAGGTAACATTATTTTATTTCGGTGAATTCGCGTCTTAAGTTAGTCTCGAAGGTGCACGATTTCGAGGGGAAATATTCGGTTGCCTGGAATATTCCTCGGAATACAGAAATATAGGGAAATTTGTGCGTGACTAATCTGAACGAAATTTGAGTGAAAATCGACGATACCGCGGTGGTATAAGGGAATAAAAGTTGAAGAAAAGGGAAGAGCAGAAGATTTGGGAAGTTTCGCCGGGGGAATTGGAGCGCAGAAATTCTGTAAAAGGGGAGGAGAAAATAAAAGTTTGGAAGATTTTAGCGGTGAGGTATTAAAGAATAGACGACGGGGAAACGGAGTACGAATGGCTTCGAGACATCGTTGAGGAATCATAAATATCTTTATCGTACTTTCAGTTTTAATTTTCCTCGAGATGTAACTTAAACTTTGCACAATGTAAATTTCGCGTTGCGAAAGGAAACGGGCAATTCTTTACAATTCTTTTTTCATTCAAATACTATCGAGAGACAGGTGATTGAAGAATATTAAACTGCTTTCCCCTAATAAGTACAAATCGTAGCTTGAATCGTAACACCGATAAAAAGGATACTTGAAATTTCAATCTAAAGAAAGAAGAAACAAATTCGATTTCTCCGAAGTTCCAGATATCGGAAGGCCTCCTTAAAACGATTCATAACCATTTCTACTTATCCAAAATCATGCTTCCCCTCTGCTCCAACGGCAACAAGCAACGGAAATTCAATTAAAACGCTTTACAGCTCGCGCGATCGCACGATCGCTCATTTTTACGAGCCTTGTGACGCACACGGACCGGTTCGTGCACGAAAGGGTTACGAACGAGCGAACTGAAGAACGTACAAATTGTACATATAATCAACTCATTTAGACGCGGTAGCACACCGGAACGTGTTTGCATGCAAGCTGGCGCACCCCGTTTTGTCCTACGTTTGAGTCTCGTTTCGATAAAAAAAAAGGGGCTGAAATTGAACCGGCATCACGTCGAATTTCTAATAAAACCGAGACGAACTTGTCTTCGCGACGCTAATTCAGCCGAAATTCCATCGACTTCCAGGCTTCTCACGACAGGCAGAGAAAGAGACAGATTCAAAAGGTGTTCGTCTGCACGTCCACCTAACTGAATTTAATCGGATGTGTTTAGACTTTTGATAAAATCGATGTGACATTGTCGCCGCGCGACAAGCAATTCTGGAAACGGAGAAAACAGAGATAGAGAGAGAGGGAGAGAGGCTCTGGTACGGCGAGTTTTCACCGGTTTGGAACGAGGAGCGGAGGAGGGTGGAAACAAGAGGAGCAGAAAAGAGGAATCGCAACCCCTCGTCGTCCGTATTTATCCGGCTATGTATTTCCTCCGTCTGTCCTGGCCGCTTTCGCCCTGCGAAGCCTTCCTTGAAATAAAACTTCGTCTTCTTCGCTCTCTCACCACTATATTCCTTCGTCTTTTCTACTTTTTCTCAGTTTCACCTTCCTTTTTCCTCCTTTCCTCGATTTCCCTTTTTTTCTTCTTCTTTCTTTCTCGCATCTCGAGGACCGTTGCGGAGCTTCTTCTTTCCTGTTTAACGCGTCTTCGTTCCATCTGCTTGTTTACGCCTCGCGATTTCATTCCGTTTCGACAGCGAATGGAATTCGTTCTTTTTTTCTTCTTTTTTTTTTTTTGGAGATTTAGCTGGTTAGAAATATAACGAACGGTTGTGTTTCGTCGAGGAATCAGAGGTTTAATTGGTGAAATGTCTTCCTCGGAAATATCCTGCCCGGGGTTTTGTTTCAGTTTCGAAAACACTAACTGAAGTTTGTCTCTTAACTAATGACGTTGTTATTAGCCGCGCGACCCTTTTGTACGCTCTGCTTTTCGTCGTTATTCTTTACTTTCCGCGAAGTTGCTAGTGTACATATATTTTCCTTCCTCTACTTACCAACGTAAGGTTCTTCTTTCTGCTTTTTTTTTTTTTCATTTATTCAGTTTCGTGCACAAGAGTTCCGCAGATTCCCGCGATCTCCCGTCCCTCTGCGCGGTTATAAATTTCCATATCGTCGAATTGCCACACAGAGAACTGTCGGAAAAACAATTTTCCCCGTACTCTCTCGGAGAAAAGAGGAACCATCAAAATTCCAAATACCTTCGACGCGAACGTTATATCAAACCCCACCATTTTTCTCCCAAAGGCTCATATAAAAACCAATGACAATTCCGCAAGATTTCACGATTTCTCTCACGGTAAGCCGACTATTTGTTCATTCACCCGCTTATTACTCAAACTGTCCGCTATATTAAAATCACCCCAGCTCCCTGATCTCCTCCAGTCATTTTCATACGCCCTACATTCTCCTCGCGTCATTTCTTTCCACCGAGACGTATTCCTCTTTCGAGATCCTCCTCCTAAACGTGTCCAGTTCCACCTTTCTCCCCTCGTCCCGTTTCATCCCCCTTTGCAACAGCGTGAGACAAGAGACATCCACGAATTCGTGCCTTCGTGGCGTTGTTAAAACTTCTCCGCGCCGACAGAGTTTCACTCTGTTTCACTTTGGAACTTTCGGATAATAAGCGCGAAACTGGCTGGAGCGAGAGCGAGAGAAAGCGAGACAAGGGTGCGGTGAAGAAAGACGAGGCAGAAGGGCTGCGTTAAGGGCGGTCGTGGAACCGGGAGAAAGAGAGAGGAGCATCATCTACACCGGCATTTCCTGTCGTCTCGACCATTTTAATTTCTTTTTTTTTTTTTTCCCCTCTTCCTTCAACCCACCGTCCAATTATTGGCGACCGCGAAAGTCATCCTTTGTCGAGACCGCGACCGCCTTTTGAAGTGCCCCCTTACTTCTTCCTTTCTTCTTCCTAATGTCTGCGACGACTGATAAGAAGAAGAGTCACCCAGATAGAGGATGAGGCTAGAGGAACACAACAGGCACCCTGTTTTCCTGTCTCTCGTTGCACGTCCCATCTCTCTCTCGCCGCTACGAAGTAACGATCGTCCTTTAGTTTCGGAAGTTCGATGATTACTATCACCGCGTCTCCTCCGAATCCTTCGTAATATAACCCGGAGACAAACACGCCTGTGGCGAAACTTCAACAACGCTCCGCTGCCTACCTTTTTTCTGTTCGAAAATCTCACTTTCAACCGATGGGTTCCGAGGTTTTCTTCGAGAATACCAGAGCTCTTTCCTCAAAATCGTTCTCCTAGTTTGTATGGAATCTTTACGTCGAATCTATCCTATTTTTGTTCACTTTGTTCCAGAGACTTCTTTACGATAAAGGAATCATGAAACAGGTTGAACTCATGATTTCATCCTTGAAGATTCCCACAACGAGATTGTCCAGAATAAAGGACGTCGCAGATAGATGTAATGGTGGTATCATATACACGGTCTAAAAGGATCGTGTCCTACTTGCGGAAGACGTATACAGGGTGTCTCGAAACCGTGTATACAAGTGTTGTTTTATGGACGTGGAAGCTCGACGTTTCTGCGGATTGCACGAACTTCTGGTGAACACTTGATAGTAATTGACGTGTCGTAAAGCCATACACCGCGGAGTGTAACTACAGTGCTACTAGAATTTTCCGGAGTTTTGGTGTTTCAAGTGATGACTTCTAAATATTGACAATCTTACGTGAAGAAGGATAACGAGAAATTGTATACAACCAAATAAGTGGGAAAATAACATCTATTTAAAACAGAATAATCTACGTTCAGACAGAATAGCAAAAGAACAAGTTTCGTGCTATTCTTCGAACAAACTTCTCGATGAACTCGCCGCGTGTCGTGTTCCTCTTGTTTAATTCAACAGAACGAATGATTCAATTTAAATTTTACCGAGACGCGACTTCTCTTAGAGGGATTAGAAATCCTTTCCTCCACGGTAGACGTGGAAAAAAAGCAAAGCTCCGGGATAAACCTCTATTCGTTTAAATATAAGCTCGGTGAGAGACAGTCTGGGGGACAAGGGACGACGGTATAAATCGACAGATTTTCATCAAGAAGTAACCCAGGGATAGCGGCCTTCTCACCGAGAGATTCGACCAACGAGGTCTGTGATTGGCACCGGTGACAATTATTTGTTTTCCACAAATCACCCGGAGAACGTCGTTCTCCCATCCTCCAGGCTTTTCTTTACCGTTCTTCTCACCATCTCGTTTCTCCCACCTTTAGACACACCGTTCGAGCCTGCCCGTGACATTTTCTACGACGTTCTTTGACCCTCCATAAACTAAATTCCCTGTCCTGCATGAAAGATTACCGACGTCTCAAGTCTGTTTTCGATCGAGCGTAACCAACCTATTCTCGTCTTTCAGATTTACACGAACGTTCCTTGTTGAAAATTCTCGTCAGTAAAGGATAAGTGGATCGTCGTAACGATGAAACTTTGAAGCCAGATTTTTCGTTAAATATACGCCGTTTAGGGTCGGTTAAACGACTTTTGCATGTGACACGTTGAGCTGCAGATGCGAGTTCGAAGAAGAGTTTGCGATTCTCAAAATAACGTCCCGTTCAATCGATGAATTCTTAATTGGTAAATTGTGACAAGACTTCGATCTTTTGTTTTTCCATTTAAACGCTTGTACTTGTGTTCAGAGGCGGTTAATTGTCATGGTTAATTAAAGGTTCGCAGAGGAAGAAATTCATATT